GTACTCCACAGGTAACCTTTGAGCGTGTTGAAGATCTATCATTAACATGAACAAACTGAATTCGATCAGATAGATACGATTTAAACCAGTCTAGTGCTGTTCCTTTAATTCCAACAAAATATTCAAGTCTTTCTAAAAGAATATTATGATCAACTGTATCAAATGCAGCACTGAGATCCAACAGGACGAGCACAGATACAAGTCCATTATCTGAGGCCATGAGAATATCATTAGTGACTTTCACCAGAGCTGTTTCAGTGCTATGATGAGCTCTAAAGCCAGACTGAAACTCTTCAAAAAGTTCATTATGGTGGAAGTGATCGCAAACTTGTTTGGCAACTACTTTCTCAAGAATTTTGGATAAGAAAGGAAGATTGGATATAGGTCTATAATTGACCAAGTCATCTGGGTCAAGAGATGGTTTCTTAAGCAGAGGTTTAATTACAGCAACCTTAAAAGCTTTAGGTACATATCCCTGTAACAGAGATAGATTAATCACATCTAAAATGGAGGAGGAGATCAAAGGGAATACCTCCTTAAATAACCTGGTTGGAACTGGATCTAACATACAAGTTGAAGGCTTAGATGAAGACAATAATTTTGCTAATTCAGAAAGTTCAACTGGATCAAAGCAGTCTAAACCCGGTTCAGATTCCATGACTACCTCAGGTACAATCGCGGATAGAGGAGTGCTTATGATCTTATTTTTAATAAGATCAATCTTATTTATAAAGAATCCCATAAAACCATTGCTTCTAAGAACAGGTGGAATGGACGGTTCAACAGAGCTATGGCTCTGGGTGAGTTTGGCAACTGTATTAAAAAGAAATCTAGGATTATTCTTATTCTCCTCTATTAATGAGGAGAAGTATGCTGCTCTTGCTTTACAAAGGGTCCTCTTATACAGCATTAAACCATTTTTCCAGACTAGGAAGGACTCCCGCAGGCCTGTGGAGCAATATTTTCTCTCCAGTTTCCTAACATTTTGCTTCAAAGTACGCAGCTCTGCATTAAACCAAGGAGCAAGCTTTCTATTTTTAACGGTTTTCATTTTCAAAGGAGCTGCGTTGTCTAAGGCAATACGCAGAGAACTAGCAACCCCATCAACAAAATCATCAACCTGTGAAGGGGAATAAGCTATGCTTTTGCACTCTGCAGCACTGCTCAGCGACACAGAGGAGAGAGAAAGTGAAGCAGATTCTTTAAAATTTATAACTGCACTATCTGATAAAGATCTACTAAAATTGAACCTTCTTTTGGGGGAGGAGAACTCTGTTAAAGTAATCCTGAAGGTTATTAGAAAGTGGTCAGAGAGGACAGGGTTGTGAGGAAATACTGTTATTTCTTCACATTCTATGCCGTATGTCAGCACAAGATCCAAAGTATGAAGATGAGAATGTGTGGGACTATTCACATTTTGAACAAAGCCAATAGTGTCTAAGATAGCATTAAAGGCTGCTCTTAAGCTATCGCCTTCAATGTCAGCATGGATGTTAAAATCTCCCACTATGATGACCCTGTCAGTATTTAATACCAAATCAGAAAGGAACTCTGAAAACTCATCTAAAAATTCAGAGTAAGGACCTGGTGGACGATACAAAGTTACAAAAAGAAGAGGTTTTCTTGGCTTGAAATTTGGATCAGGGAAATTAAGGGTTAAATGTTCAAAAGAGTTGTAGGTATTAACTGTTTTGGGAGTAATCAGTAAGTCAGACTGGAAGATTGTTGCTACTCCTCCTCCACGCCCAGAACTTCTGGGGATGTGAAAATTTAAATAGCTTGAAGGAGTTGCCTCATTTATGCTCACATAATCCTCTTGCTGCAGCCAGGTTTCTGTAAGGCAAAACAAGTCAATGTGATTATCACAAATCAAGTCATTAACTAGTAGACTTTTAGGGGAAAGTGATCTTATGTTAAACAGACCGCATTTAATTGTTTTAACTTTTTCCCCAATTGGAGTTATTTTGATTTTAATTAGATTATCATGATTTACTCCTTTGGGATTCTTTGCTAATTTATTAGATTTTGGTCGTGGACAAGACACTGTCTGGATGGAGTAAAGAGTGGGTAACAGTAGAGAAGCTGCAGAGATGTGTGTTAAACTACAACTCTGCTTCCTGGTCTGCACCCTGGGTGGTCAGGGTTTTGGAGGACTAATAAATGTGGCCAGATTCCTAGAAAGAAGAGCTGCACCATCCAAAGTGGGATGGATGCCGTCTCTCCGAATCAGACCAGGCTTTCCCCTAAAGGATTGCCAATTATTTATGTAGCCCACATTGTTTTCAGGACACCACCTAGACAACCAGCGATTGAATGACGACATGCGGATAAACATGTCATCACTGGTCAGATCAGGGAGGGGACCAGAGAAAATTACGGAGTCCGACATTTTTTTGGCAAACTTACACACCGAAGCAACACTAATTTTAGTGACCTCCGATCGGCGTAACCGGGTGTCATTACCACCAGCGTGAATAACAATCTTACTGTATTTAACCTTATCCTTAGCCAGTAGTTTCAGGTAGGATTTAATGTCGCCCGTTCTGGCCCCCGGCAAACATTTGACTATGGTCCCTGGTGTCTCTAATGCCACGTTTCTGACTATGGAGCTGCCAATCACCAGAGTGGGCTTCTCAGTGGGTGTGTCACTGAGTGGGGAAAACCGGTTAGAAACGTGAACGGGTTGGTGGTGACCAGTGGGCAGAGATCCACGACTACGCTTTCTGCGTACAGTTACCCAATCGCCTGGCTGCTCAGGCACTTTTGGAGGACAGCTACATGGGGGGCCTACTTTAACTCCTGGATGTTCAACAGCCTGAAGCCTGGATTCTAACTCTGACACCCTCGCCTCCAAAGCTACAAAAATACTACACTTATTACACATCCCATTATCACTAAAGGAGGCAGAGGAATAACTGAACATCTGACACAGAGAGCAGGAGAGAGGAGAGGAAGAAGGAAGAGTTGGAAAAGAGTCAAGGGAGGGAGAGAGAGAAGCAATAGCAATGCTAAGCTAGCGCTAGCCTAGGCTAGCTACTCCTTGCTATCAGAAATAAAACCGTGTGAAACTGACAAGTGCTCAGTAGAAAAGTACAGCAGAAGGTGCTATGTTTTAAAGTAGTCAGTTAGAGTTACTTAGATACAGAGATATCACAGAGAAAATAGCTTAACTTCAGATGGAGTTCCTCTTGACAGCTGCAACAGCTGCACACTCAGTTAATCTAAACAGGAAGTGAACCTTCAGGCTCTTCCTCTTGGTTTGCCTTTTTCCCACCTAATAACCGTGCAAACTATGTAGGGGCAGTGCTAGCCATGCTAACTCTGTAGGGGCTGTGCTAGCCATGCTAACTCTGTAGGGGCAGTGCTAGCCATGCTAACTATGTAGGGGCAGTGCTAGCCATGCTAACTATGTAGGGGCAGTGATAGCCGTGCAAACTATGTAGGGGCAGTGCAGTTCTACTGTAAGGTAACCTGGTCATGGTCAATGATAGGCGTACCTGATGTGAAACAACCAGACCATGCATATTTCTTTTGATTAATAGATTATTAGGCTATGTATGCTTCCAAAAAATTGTGAGAAGGAGGATTTTCAATTGTACTCTGGATTTAACAGGAAGCCAATGAAGAGAAGCCAGGATTTCCTGGCAAGAGTCAATCTTGGAAAGAAGTTTGTTCCTTGGCTGAAAGAAGAAGCTGATTGTAAAACTGATTCTCTTTTCTCAATTTTATTATTAGACTGATAAGTTAACACTTTGTTCCAAGTATACAGTCACAGGTCTTTGTTATTATTTTCCATGTTTATTAGAAGAAAAACACGGGCAGTTACAGGTCTAGCGCCCCTAGTGGTCAAAAGTTACCCAGTTTAAGCTTAAAATGATAAAACATGTAAACCAGTTTAGAGTAAGCAATGCCTTACAGACCTGATGTAAAAATGTAAAACCGAGAGACATATGTACAAAAAAGTAAAGAAAAAAAATTCTATTAAACAATTTCTGTAAGCAAAACAAAAAACCAGTACATATCCCAACAGCTTTTCCCACCGATTAGAATATAAATAGAAAACATGAACACCAAAGGCCAGTTATTGAAACCTTAAAAATGTGGTTTATGTTATTAAACCAGGACAGGACTGGCATAGAAAACAAGCAGTGACTTTATTCTAGATAGAAAACAAGCAGTGACTTTATTCTACATAGAAAACAAGCAGTGACTTTATTCTACTTTCAATATTTCCTCCACTTCTTCTACACTACAAACATGGAAATAAGAGCATTATAAGAGCATTTTTTTTAAGTGGAAGGGGTAAGTGAGACACTTTGCCAGAAGAAAGAAACAACAGAATTCAAGTGCGTATTATCAAACATTCTTATTTAAAGAGACAAAATACTCATTCATTTTGCAAATCATCTTATTTAACTGCTCAAATTAAAGATAATTACACATTTATTTCTAGATTGTTTTTGCAGTTTTTCGCTGCTTGAATCCAGAAACATTTTCACAATGCAGAATAAAAACAAGCAGGTTGTTCTTTATTTTCATTATTACCAGTCAGTCCTGCATCGCTTTGGTGTCATTTTCAGTCAAGGCATTTCAAAAAGAACACAAACCCCTGGATGAGGGTGAATATGACCTCTGACCTACATGCCCTTCATTGGACTAAATCTTAGAAAATGATAGAATCAGGTCATTATAGATAGAGAACGTTAAATAAGGAACTATCAACTGAAATAAATCTCATTAAACTATTTTGATCGAGCTTTTAAAACCAAGATAATTTCTGATCTTTGCCCCTTCATGAATTTCAGACAAGCTTTCCAATAAGATAGCAAAGCTATTGTGAAACCTCCTGGAATGATGACCCTGCACTGCTGAGAGCGATGGCCGTCAGAGAGAAGAAGGGAAGAACGTTCAGCTTGGATGGATCTGCTCCGTAGAAACCCAGAGCCGCCTGCACGGCACCAACAGCAGCCTTTTCCCTCTCAGGTTAGAGCCTAGGCTCTTCATCTTAAAATCCCCGTCCTGTCCCGTCTGTAGAAATGGGACGTCCTCTCCTTTGCTTTGAGTCTTACAAGGAGCACCTTCCTGTGCCTGCATTTAAAAAACATTTAGAGGGATGAGCCCTTTGATCTTTGGGATCTGCTCTGTCTTTATAAACGCTGTGAGCAGATCAGTGCGTTTTGGAGGAGAACAGGTTTAACAGAGACCTACAGAGGAACATTTACCTGTCTATGCAGAAGCTCCTGCAGTCTGAGTCCGTCTGCAGCCTGCATGCACAGCGCCTCGCCACGGCCCCATTCCTGCTCCTCTGGGCAGAGCGCTTCAGGCGCAGGGAGCCTGAGTCACTGGACATCCCATAGGGTACAGTATGCCTGCCAACATCAGCACATGGTTACCATGTTGGTCTGGGCCTTTAGGTTCTCCAGATGAACAGCAGTTCTGGCTTTTCTAAGGTTCAAATGATGACATCACATTCTTTTTCAGCAGAAGTTGTGTGAATAAATCAGAAATCCAAATATACAGAAATCTGAGCAAAAATAATTTCCTCTGAAACTGATCCGAGGTTGAATGAGTTAACCGTGCTGAGCTCGGTTCTGCTTTCAGAGATCTTAAATGATTGTCCACTCCTTAAAATGGGGCCAAAGACACATGCTAAAAGGCCATTTCACTTGAAGAGTTTCTCAGAAAGAAAACTTAATTTTTTGAAATGAAGGATTAATCTACCTTCCTAGAAGCATTTTCTACTTTGCTAACCGTTAGCTTCAGTTTAGGATTTGGCCTTCATGGCTTCTAACCATGCTGTACCTTTTAGCACCATCTCCCAGGAAGTGGGATGGTGCTAAAGGAGGTTATAAACCTTTCATGGATTTTTTTCAGCTGAACGTTGTGATGAGGCATGTGTTCAATGTCATGACCAAAGGCTGCCATCGGTCTAATGCAGAAGAAGACCTAGAGAACCACAGTCTTTGTGTTGGGATATGGAGGTCTGTCCATTTTTCTCCACCAGAGGGCGTTCTAGGTCTCCTGGAGCTGGGGCTGATTGCACCACCTGTTGCTCGTTTGCTCATCAGGAGACCAGTATATAAGGAGGCAGAGGACATCACTCCAGTGCCAGAGTGTTTGCCAGTTATGGTTAGCAAGCCTGAGCCAACCTGCCTGTCTGAATCTCTGACTCCCAGAAAACCGGAACCTGATCCGTTTTTGTCTTCTCTGCTTCCCAGGTTGAACCTGCCTGAAACTAGAAACCCAGAAGAGTTTCTCTGTTGGAAATCTGTCTGTCTGATCTCTGAAGAACCCTGGAGAATCAAACCTGTCAAAGACCTGCCTGCCTGCTCTCTGAAGAATCTGAAAGGGAAACTCAAATCTGTGATCTGCCAGCTCTCAAACCAAGCTCTGCCTCCGCCAAGCCCTCAGCCTGCCGACAGCCTCTGGACCCTCCTGGTTTCCCCCCTCTGCCACTCTGCTCAAACTCCGGAACAGATACAGACCTGCACTCTCACATCCTGCAAATTACCTGGACATTTGCTAACCCCTCTGTCCCCTTCTGCAGTGAACCCAGTCGTGACCAGTCCTGGATTTGATTACCCCTTGGATCAGTTTATTATCTTTCTGTGTTTATTCAATAAACCTTTGAACTTGTTTCCTTTGTCCGTGTGTTCTGCATGTGGGTTAGGAACCTTAAACCAAACATGACACTTTGATACACTTTGATCTGCCATCGCATTATTTTTGATGGCAGATTTTTAGCAGAACTTCATAAACCTTTTTTTAAAGCGTTAGTCCTCTAAATTTATCACTCCGGCACTTCAAGATGCATTTCTGCAAACTTAGCCACTTTGTTGTTGTATTCAGTCCCTTTTCAGACTCTTACAGTACAGAAAATGAGCTCAGCTTCTACTGATGAGCCTGGATTAGAAAGCTTGGGTCCGTTTCACAAAGCAGGTGTAAAAAATTCAGATTCAAATCCGCAATTCAGGAACTTTGAGTTCTCAGTTTCACAACGGCTGCTGTGAATTAGTTCAACCAACTCCAAGTAGGTCAAGTAAACGGCTTGCCATAGCCAGTTGTTACCAAGATAATGCTAGAGATTTATTTCTTGAAATGTGGCGGATTATGTAGCTATTTAGGTGAAATCCCATGGCAGCAGGTGAAGATGAAGAATAAAAAGTTTTTCTAATAGTTTGAACCTGTTCATCATCTAATGGGCTCTCGGTTTGATTCTGTCTCTGTTTACACAGTAAATACGAAGTATCTGTTTGGAGCCACTTCAGATGTTATGTTATGTCACAATAATATGTGTGTTATTATCCCAGTAAATGGTTGTTATTAGCAGCTATCAGTCCCATAGAATGCAGATTGTGCCAGTAGGCTCATTAGGTTCTTATCATCGAGTGAATCCTAATCTGAAAATGCAACAATGTAATCTGAAAATAATTTTAGTAGTTCTTCACTTACTGTAAAGATAAATGAAAATAAAGCGATTCTATCTTCTGCAGGAGAGTAGATCAGTGTCACTGATAACAGGTGAGAAAGAGGAAAAAAGCGGTCTCTGTTCTGAAACATGTCTGCAGAAGATAGGAGGGACTTCATGGACAAGAAGCTGTTCCTGAGCTGATGTTAGACATGTGCAGAGGGCCTGAATAAAAAAAAAAAAAACACCAGGGGATCTAAGGAGAGATTCTGAAGATGCAGCAGCATCTGGGTTCTGGAGGAACCGCAACCTCTGTTTGGATCTGAGGCTTTAACCGACAAGTAACGGATGACCAGATGCTGTCCCTCGTTCACTCTCACCGTCACTCATCCAGAAGGACTGAAAAGAAGATCTTCTTCCAAAGAACTAAAGTGAGCTCAGAGTGGACCTCAGGTATTCAGCCGGTCTGCAGACTGAGGGGTTTTAAAAGGACACCAAACAGGTTAGGAACTGAGAACGGGGAGCAGCAGTCAGAGTGGAAGCAAAGATCCTTCATCTAAGCTCTGCAAAAACTGGATCTGATTTCAGGCACCTGCTTTAAATTCAACTTTGGCATTGAACTTGTTGGGATCCTCAGGCTTGCCCACCAGAGGGCGCCGAGGATCCTCTTCTGTTTTATGTTGTTTTGTTTTGTTTTGTTCTGTTAGGACTGGGGTTACTGTTGGGATCTGGAGAGTTACCATCTGTCTCCAGCAGAGAGCGCTGTGGGTCTCCTGGGCTGGAGCCCTCCAGCACACCTGACGCTCATCAGCCCATCAGGAGACCTTCCTATTTATCCAGTGGCCAGACCTTCCTTCAACGCCACAGTGTTGACCAAGTTTAGTTAGCGAACCTGAGCCTCTGTCATTTTAGAGAATCTTAGTTGGCTCAAGAGAGAAACTAGATTCTAACCTGCCTTTGTTTTCTTTGCTCACAGGAAACCTAGAAGCTCTGGATGAGCTCTGCCTGGAAACCTGCCAGCCAGCCCAAGGAAGCCAAACCAGAAGATATCAGTCTGGGTTCCTCCTACAGCTCTCAAGGAAGAGCTTGGAAACCGAGTCAAGGTCAGAAACTCACAAGTCAGAAGCTAGACGCTGCTGCTGCTGAACTCCCTGCTGAAACCATAGTCTCTGGACCCAACCGGTTCCCACCCTCTCAAAGGATCTGCCAGAACCTCTCCAAGGTACAGACTAAATTAACACACCCGATAAGCCATCAAACTGCCTGGCTAATCAAACTATCCATCTCTGCAGATATCAGTGAATCCAGTCCCGGACCTGTACCAGAACCTGTTTATATTTCTCTGTGTGTACCTTTAATAAACTGTTGAACTTTTACCCCTGACTCCGTGGTGTGTTCTGCATGTGGGTTTAATTCCTAAAACCAACCATGACAGAACTGGTCCATTCTGTGTGAAGAACAAAGACAGAGTTCAGAACCTTCAGGATGAAGACTTTTAAGTTCACATCAACACAGAGCTGAGGGACGAAGCTCGGTCCATTTCCATTCCTATACTATTAATCATGAAACATGAGGAGGAAAAGACAGAACCAGACAGACGCTCTGCCTCCAGTTTGACCCAAAGATCGGATGGTTTTGGTCTTTTCTCCTAATATACATGATCAACAATGCAGGAGGATAGAAAATAATCATCTAGATATTGCTGTTCATAAGAATCAGCAGTTTAAAGATCTAAAAATGATTCAGATCATTTTTAGATTTGATTATTTTTAGACATGAAGACGTCTTCCATCTGATGTTGGATTTCTAACTGGGACTCTACAGAATAAACTGTTCTTAGATACTGAGCCCATTCCTCCCAGTCTGACCAGTTCTCATTGCTTTGAATCTGCTCGCCACATGGAGCTTTTTAAGAGCGACTCTTACTCCGGTGTGTTGATCCAGATGATGTCCAGGTGACAGTAGTACACACACTCTTTGTCTCTGTAGGTGTAACACGTGCACCTCCTGGGACGCCTCCTGCCTTCCTCAGCAGGGGTGAAGGTGACTGGGTCAGCACCACTACTGCTCTGGCTGACCTCCCCCATGGAGCCCTCCTTCAGGCCGATGGACAGGAAATCCTCAGCATCATCAGAGCGTGTCAGAGAGGCTGTAATAATCAAAGCAGGACAGAGTGTGACTGAGCAGCAGGAACGCCAGGATGGGATCAGCTGAAAGGTTGGAATATTTCCACCTTCACTGACACTGAGGCAGCATTCAGAGCTGCAATCTGATTGGCTGACAGACCAATTTCAAAATGTTAACAAGAACAAAAATAAGTGGAATAAAATTCCTGTTGTCAGGGGGGGGGGTTTACCATTAGGCAAGACTAGGCATAAACTCTGTTTCCATGTATGGTTAATACAACTATTCCTTATTTGTGCACATTGATTATATCTTTGATAAAAATCCTTTTGCTAAAATGCCATCAGAACGCTGATAATATTAAGTGTGTCTCAGCCCCCCCCTTCAGTGTCCACCATATTGGATCAGTCCATTTGCTGCACATGTTCAGAAAGGTCCAAACAGACAGCAGCAAACCATTTGAAAACAAACCATGCAAAGAGCAGTGTTGCCAACTTAGCGCTTTAGTCGCTATATTTAGCCACTTTTCAGACCCCTCTAGCACTTTGATTTCTAAAAAGCTCCTAGCGCCAAATCTAGAGACTTTTTTTCTGCTACTGGAGACTTTGGAGACAACATCTAAAAGCAGCGAACTCTGCTCTCCAGAGCGAGTAGATTGGTAACCACGCCTCCTGCTCTCCTCTATCTTGTCTGCTGTCATGATTCATGCAGCTATTATTTCATCCAAATGAAAAATGGAGAACAGATAAGCAGATCATGGCTTGTCTACAGTGAAAAGAAGGACTGGGTTATTTACTTTGGCCTTTTTGGAAACACAGGAAGGAGCAATCAGCTAAGTGAGCTTAGTGCTTGGAAAAAATCTTTCATTCCTTTAGAGACAGCATGAAAAGTCAGCTGAGTACAAAACATAGAGAGGAAAACAAGAAGAAAAGGGACAAGAAGACAGGGACACAACCTAGAACAGATAATGGATGTCTATTCTATTAACATTTCTCTATCTGGAGAATGGGTCTGTTTGATGTCTTCTCCATTCAGAGGGCCCCCTGTCTGTCTTTGCATAGGACCCCACATTTCCTAAAACTGCCCCTGGTTATTGGATCCAGTCATAAATCGGGTTCTAGAAAAACAGTCCAACAGACTGGATCAGAACCAAGGTTCTGTTTGGTCCACAATTATCCAGCTCTACAGTACAGTCAGCGTGTGAGATTTACTGCCTGTTACAGACTCATTAGAAATGACATCTAATTGATTTTTTTATTCCATCAATAACAACAATAATATTAATATTAACAAAAACACTATTAATAAAAAACGAATAATTATATTGACACTAATAACACTGGAAATGACACTAATAATAATCTTCATAATAATAATAGTCTTACCATGGGTTAAAGATGCTGTCACCACTATACAGAACAGGGATCCCATATTAAATAATGATGCCATCAAACATAGAATGGTAGAAATAAAAAAATAATAAATAAATTTTTGTAAATAAGTGAACACAGCAGTCAGATGACTCCCCCCCCCCCACGCAGACTGAAGGCGTCTCCTTTTCTCCCGGGAAAAACACGTCCACCCGCCTTTGAGGCTCCGCTCTGTTTGTCTTCAGTCTCCAGACTCCAGTTCATTACCTGTTGTGACAGTTTATGGTGCTATCACTGATGCTTCCTGTTGAGATTTTCAAAATAAGACTTAGTTAAATAATAAGTAGTAGAAAAGCTTTTAAAATTTCTAATCCATCCAACAGAAAAAGCCCTTAAGGATTGTGAAACTGTGGCTTCGAACTTTACACAGACCCGGATCCCTCTTTATCAAAAACAAAGATTTACACCACAGAATGAGTTGTTTGATAAAAAAAACAAAAAAAAACTCAATCAAACAAAATAAACAACTTTATTTTCCAAAAAGCTTGTGACATTGTGTCATTCTATTGCTGTGCCTCTGATTGATTGTGTTTCAATTTCAATTCAGTTTATTTATATAGCGCCAATTCACATCACATGTCATCTGAAGGCACTTTCCAGTTCATCAGATCATCCAGTCAGATTGATTCAAAGTTTTCTATCTACGGAAAACCAACTGATTGCATCGACTCATTGACTCTTCAGCAATCCCTCACACTAAGCATGCTTGTAGCGACAGTGGAGAGGAAAAACTCCCTTTGAACAGGAAGAAACCTCCAGCAGAACCAGGCTCAGTGTGAGCGGCCATCTGCTGAGGCCCACTGGGGTTCAAGGAGACAGAAGCAGACATAGAAAAAGAAGCATAGATACAAAAGGCAACTGTCAACCAGCTCCAGAGGCGGCCCCGTCCAGGAAACACACAGCCAGGCAGACGAGCTCCGAGCCAGCTCCCATGTCAGAGGATGAAGAGAACACATCCAGTTAGTCACAGTCAGAGAAACAGGACTACACTGGAAAACAGGCCAAGCTCCAACATCTAGAAACAAAGGTGTTGATGGCAGCAGCACAGCTGATATTTCTCTCCAGGATGGAGTCACAGCCAAACAGGAACAGACCAGATGAAGCTACTATGAGGAAAAGCAGAGAGAGCAGAAGGTTAGAGATTGAACTAACAGATTCTGCAGAGTGGGAGAATAGAGAGAGAATGAAGCAGAATGATGAAAAAGGGGTCCCTATGTCCTCCAGCAGTCTAAGCCTATAGCAGCAGAACTATAGAGATAGCTCAGGATAACCTGAGCCACTCTAACTAGAAGCGTTATCAAAAAGGAAAGTTTTAAGCCTAGCCTTAAAAGTAGACAGGGTGTCTGCCTCACGGACTAAAACTGGTAGTTGGTTCCACAGGAGAGGAGCCTGAGAACTAAAAGATCTGCCTCCCATTCTACTTTTAGAAATTCTAGGAACCACTAGTAAACCTGCAGATTGAGAGCGAAGTGCTCTGTTAGGAACATAAGGAACAATCAGATCTCTGATATAAGATGGAGCTTGGCCATTTAAGGCTTTATATGTGAGAAGGAGGATTTTAAATTCTATTCTGGATTTAACAGGAAGCCAATGAAGAGAAGCCAGGATAGGCGAGATATGATCTCTGTTTTTCATTTTCATCAGAACTCTGGCTGCAGCATTTTGGATCAGCTGAAGGCTTTTAACTACAGTTTGTGGACTTCCTGATAGTAAAGAATTACAATAGTCCAGCCTTGAAGTAACAAATGCATGGACTAGTTTCTCAGCATCACCCCTGGACAGGAGATTTCTGAAACTCCAGTGAGGACCTTCCTTATTTGGCACTGAACAACAAGCAGTTGTTCTCTGTGATGTTGGGATTCAGGTTCTGTGTTTTTAGAAGCGCTGAACATGTTAGAACAATGTTATCTTCCGGGTTGTTCTGAATTTTCCCCCCTGGTGTTTCTCTGTGTAAACCTTCCCATCTATTGCATGCAGGATACATGCATTCACCTCTGAATGATATCAGTCATTAATAAAGAAAACACAGTGAGGAAAATAAGTTGGCTATTAGAACACCCTGTTATTTTGCCCTTAGAGGTCATGGAGAGTCTGAAATCGTGGTCCATGCCCACTGTGACAGACACAATAATAGAAGAAAAATAATCCAATACTCACAACATATGATCTCTTATTTATTTGTGTGATTCAGCCTTTGTCTCCAGAGGTCAAAGGTTTCCTGTAGTTTTTCAGCAGGTTTGCTCACACTGCAGGAGGGAATTTGGCCCACTCCTCCACACAGATCTTTTCTAGATCAGTCAGCTTTCTGGGCTGTCGCTGAGTTTGAGCTCCCTCTAAAGATTCTCTATTGGGTTTAGGTCTGGAGACCGGCTAGGCCACGCCAGAACCTAGATCTTCTTCTTCCAGAGCCGCTCCTTGGTTATACCCTGGCTGTATGCTTTGGGTCATTGTGATGCTGAAAGACCCAGCCTCCACCCATCTTCAATTCTCTAATCTAGGAAAGGAGGTTGTTCCCTAAAGTCTCCCAATACATGGCCCCGGTCATCCTCTCCTTCATACGGTGCAGTCAAGTGATTTCCAGGAGTTTATTTCTGCAGAAGAGAGTAAATCACAAATTTATCCCTGGTCACCTTTCCATGCAGATTAAATTCACAAAAACTTGATGGATCAAAAATATTGAAAATGTGATGCAGTTTAATCTCTGTTATACTACCACCTCCATGCCTCACAGTAGGGAAGGTGTTCTTGGGATGGTTCTCATCATTCTTCTTCCTCTAAACATGGTTAGTGTTAAAGAACAATAAAAAAAAGTTGGAATGAAAACCCTGATCAACAATGAATAAACTTTTTTTATTTAGACAGGATCAGACTGTAGAGATAATAATTAAGAATTTAATGCATAATGACAGTGATGAACGGGCTCCAAAAGGTCAAAATGAAAACAGAACATGGGAGGAGCTAATGCTCCAGAACCCAGCGCCTCTAGATCATGACTGGGTCATTTTTCATCCACTGATGCATCTGTAGCTTGTTTTTGTAAGATAGAATAGATTAACATTTTCAGTCATAAATAAAATAATTAGCTTTGGTAAAATGTTAGTCAGTATCCAATTATCGAACAGACTCTTCCTCATGCACATGTTTAGCATTCAATGCTCAAATAGGGCCCCAATTTTTAGGACTCCAGTCTGTGTGGTTTGTGTGTTTGTCTTCCTTCCTCCACCAGGAGGCGTCTGATCCTGGTTCGCCTCCTCACACACCTGTTGATGGTTTCCTCGTTAACTGAATGTTCTTAAGCTGCTGACTGCCACTACCTCGACGCCAGAGTGTTTGCCAGTGTTGGGTACTCTAGCCAAGCTGAGTTTTGCTGAGTCAAACTGAGTTTTTGTCTACCTGAGTTTTAACCTCGCTGTTTTGTCTTTGCCTCTCGGCAGGAAGTCATCCTTCAACTGGATGTTTGGGACCTTCTCTCCCCTGGAAGGATCTTCTGAGAATCAAGCTGAGCTGAGAATTCAAGGGTGTGATTCTGATCAACCCATTTCCCCAAGGAATGTCTGGGACGTCTCTCTGAGCGGGGGATTCATCTCCACAACAACCCATTATGGTACTGCAGGAAATCTAAGTGGCAGTCAGCTTCTCTGTTCACCTACAGAAAACCACACTCTGGGTAAACCCTGTCAGCCCTCCATCGAATGAGACAAATACTGAAACACCCCAAACTGACTGGAGTAAATAAGAGTCAACCATTTTCTGGATACATGAGTCTGCAATCTATTTCTCCTCTTCAAGTTCAGGAATCAAATTTCCCACTGAGCCTGAACTAACCGCAGTGTCTTCCCCTCACTTTTCAGTTCCGGTTGATTTTTTTTTTTTAATAAACTTTATTGAACAAATGTACAAAACAAACAGCACATCAGAGGGGGAGATATCAAGACTTGCACAAGAGTTACACAATAATTAAACTAGACAAGAGAAGAAAAAAAACATTAAAAGGAAAAATTATTTGTAACAGTCAATAAAGTCAATAAAATACAAATGACAAGTTTTAAATAATAATAAAAAAATGAAATAAATAAATAAAAAAAAAAAAAAAAAAAAAAGTTATTAAATATCAATAAGAGGTTTCAGGGAAGTATTTTCTATAGTTATCAAGAAACATGTTGTTCTTTTTATTTTTAATCAGTTTGAGAGATGCAATCAGAGAGTTCAACTCTAAGAGAAAGTGAGTGATGTTAGGAATCGAGTTTGCACATTTTTGTTTATGAATGAACAATTTTGCATATATAATTATAAAATTAAGCATATGTTCAAAGTCACAATGTTCAGAGTTATTGTAATAGCTGATAACATCTTTGAGAGTTAGTTTGCATACAATTTTAGTTGAATGGAAAAGAAAAGATTTAATGTCACTCCAAAATTTTCAATAGTCCTCACAACTAAAAAATAAATTCAGTTCCGGTTGAGCAGTGTTCAGAGCTGCACTGGATTCATCCCAATCTTCTCAATAAACCTGTTAAACTTTCTCCTAGTCTCTCTGTATTGGTTTTCTGCATGTGGGTCCGAGCTCTTGATAAAATCATGACACCAATATATCCCACACTGAGTGCTTGTTCCCAATGGCGCAACAACACAACTATAGGCCTATAAGCAACATTATCTGGGTGGGCCCCATATGAAGTACAACACGTGATAAAGGTTCAGGATACGGCAACAGTTCCATAAATCGGCCAAGAAGATACAATTATGCAATTCTCTGTAGTATATGATCACACATGTAAGAATGGAACCATTGGTGACTGCGCAACACCACATGTTACAGATATCCCAAGTTCCAAAAAGTCATTTCAGGGGAGGTGCTTTTTAAACATACCCGCCAAAAAATCCAATTTCTAAGATTGAACTAAAAATGGAGAAATAGCACATCTGCAGAGAGACTTCCTAGTCTACAATTGCATAGGGGGCCATCAGGTGTCAGTGATGGGCCCCTGAAGAAGTCGCTGGCCCCTAAGCAACTGCAGTCTCTGCTTACAGATATTTACGCCATTGCTTGTTCCTTCTCTGAGCCGGTGGTTTGATTTCCACGGTCTCACGGCTTCCCTGCTCTGTGCGCTCATGTCAACTTTTGTCCCTTTAAAGGCGCTACCCACTGGACAAAGCAACCTGCCATTGGCTACTTCCAGAGGGGTCCAA